AGAGGTTGGGGAACTTAAGTCGACCTTGGTGGCAGTGAATGACGAGGTCATCGGCTTAAAGGAGGAATTGGAGGCGTTGGAGGCCTTCACTCGTCTGAAAAATGAGGGTCTCCATAATGCCACAACACCTTGTGGGGAAGAACCCGCTAAAAGACATCGAAGAAGAGCACAAATTCTTTTTGAAGAACGTGGGAAATGAGGATGACTTCAAATCCGATGACGTGGAGGAGGCAGTCGAGGATAGCTCCATGGATGTCGAGTATATCCCCGCTAGGGAACTACTGTAGAAAAGGCTCCAGAGAAAGCTCAATCCCCTCCTCAGGCTTAGATTTTTTTTCTCTTTTGTCGTTAGTAATTTTGCCTTTGGCCGACTGTTGGTGGCAGTGCCAACACTCGTAATCCTTTTTTCAATATTAATACAAGTGTTTCTTTTGCTTATATGAATTGTCACATATAATTCCTTTTTATCATATGAATGTCAAATGCTAATAGTGATTAATGACTTGAAGGTAGCATTCGTAGCATGAAGAATAACTTTTAACTGAATGTATCCTTAGAAGAAAATGTCTAAACTGGTGATCTTAATTTAACTTAAAAGAATTAATTCTTTAGATTGATTATGCGTCTATCGATCGTCCTTGGCGATCGTGCGATTAAGTGCATGAGTCGAATATACTCGGCCATGCATATCATATTATGTTGATACTAGCGTTCATGCGACAAGGCATATGTGTCATAGACACAGGCGATTGTTCATTTTGTGCCTTATTTGGTGATCATTTGGTTACTACATCATGTGTAATGACTAGCATATATATTGATGCCGCATTCCAACTCCTTGGGATGTCACAGTGATCCATGGTTTGTAGTCAATAGACGCCTTTTTCCATGACTTATGAGATTCTATAGGGTCTTTCCTAGTTGGTGGAAAGTTTACATGTGTTGAGTTCTTTAATGTTAGGAAAAACATGTCATAAGACATAGTCGCCTATATGAAAGACTTTCATCTCAACGTTCTTATTAAAATGTTGAGCGATCGTCTGTTATTGAGAATCCATTCTTATTAATGTTTGACTCCCGTAATTTTTTCAGTACATCAATGTCATAACATAGATCAACTAAGTTATGGTCGACTGACAGATGTCATGCGATTGGTAATCTGGACAGGCAAGATTGCTTCACACCCATAAACCAATGAAAAAAGGGTTTGATCTATAGATGTATGAGGAGTCGTAAGATTATGTGATTGAAGGAAGTTTTTCAACCCAGTTAACTTTGGTAGCTTTTAGACTTTTCTTTATTAAATTAATAATAACTTTATTGCAAGACTCAGCTAATCCGTTTGACCGAGGATAACGAGGGGTGGACGCAATTAATTTTATATGTCGTTCTTCATAAAATCGAACGAGTTTTATCGCTGATATTCTGTGATCCATTGTCATATATGATTTCGGATGGAATTCTAAATCTACAAATGATGTTAGTTTCGATAAAAGACACGACCTCCTTATCCCTGACTTAGGGCGTTTGCCCTTGCCCGAACACCCACTACCGTCTTTGCCACCGAGGCCCCAACTACCACTTTTGCCACCAAAATCTTTGTCGGCCCACTTGTAATCTTTCCTACTGTGACGAGCTCTAATCAAACCCCACTACTTTATCACTCCTTGTAAAACCCTGATCAAATTGTCTGAGAGGGAGTTCATAACTGGAATTTGTGGCCTCGTACGCCAAGCAAAAAGCCTTTGGTCAATTAACAGGTAAGAAACTCGATTATCAATAGTATTTTCAATTCGGTAAGCAAATTCATCTTTTGTCAGTAAAAACATACAAGATGTAATAACAAATCAAATTACTATATACGGTTGGAATTTATCGCAACCTAAACAATTATAAGACAAAACAAAAGTAAAGAAGAAAAAGAAAATCAATGATCCGATCATCATGTGATCATGAATTATCGTATATTGTAAACCAGCCAAGTGTCAATGTGACATTGACTGATTTTTTAATCTTTTACGACAAAAATAATATAATTAAAATTGTGACTTTAACAAAATCTTTTTGAAAAAAAAATCTAAAATTTTTATTTTTCAATTCTATACGAATAACGATCAATATTGATATATTTTTATCACATCATATTTTTCTTTATTTCTATTCTCATTACCTTAATATATATATATATATATATATATATATATACTTGGGATCATGTGAGACCAGCCTATTTTCGTGAGACCAGCATTTTACACTTGAAACTTCACAACAAAATGCTGTGAAGGTAACTTTTTAAAACATTCACAGTGTTTTTGCTGTGAAGGTTCGACTTTTTTTAAACTTTCACAGCGTTTTTGCTGTGAAGTTTATGTGTAAAAATGTGGTCTCACGGGTCTCACGAAAACAGGCTGGTCTCACGTGTATATATATATATATATATATATATATA